TCTCTCTCTCTCTCTCTCTCTTCCTATCTCTCCTTCTTGCCTCTCTTACTCTTTCTCTATCTCTCTCTCTTCGACACTGCTTCAGTTGGCTTTGCACGATGGAGTGTATCTGAGCAAAATTTGTTTATCAAAGCTAAAAACAGATTTCTTTTTATTTGTTTTCTTTTTATATGTTTTCTTTTTTCCTTTAATTGAATACTCAGCAATTGTATAAAAGGAACTGTTATGAATACACCATGCTGCCAACCAAAATTCTGTTGAGTCAAATTTTTTCTCAAGTGGGCTTTTTTTCTCACTCACCTTCACAGCTTCAGCTGGTGTCGGCCCCTGACACTTTTCTCCGTCGTAGTACAGCTGAAGATACTGCTGCTTGAGCCACATGACGCGTTTATCCATTTGGTTCCTCAGCATGCCCGCAGCTGCCCGCAGCTTGCACAATCCTCTATACCAGGCTCGCGTCACGCTCGGAGGGCCCACAAACCAGAGCTTGTGATTGGCTGACAAGCTACTCCCGTGCACGATTGTAATACAGTTGTGGTCAGACTCCAAGGATTCGAGCCCATGCCTCTTGCTGATGGAGGCGCGGTCTAGCGTCTCGTCGCCCAGGTACACTTCTTTGATGTGAAGAACGTCGAGGTAGCCTTCTTCTAAAGAGTTGTAGTTGTCCTCACTCCCGCTGGAGTAGCGCGCGCACAGCACATGTAAGGAGGGGTGGGGCTGGTCCGAGTGGAGGATGAAGTCTGGAGGTGACGTCACGCCGCGGAGGGCACTCCATCCGGGTCGACACCAGGTCAAGGTCGCGTTGTCGGCTTCAAGGCGAAGGACGCAGAGCCCCGAACGACCAGCATCCTCGTCCCACTGGATCATTGTGGTGCCGTGGTTCAAGATCTGGTTGGGAGAAAATACACCCATGTTACGAAATCAACGTTAGTACTACTTAACTTTTTACTCTTTGATAATGCCTGCCAGGGCCATATTGGACAGCATCAAGTCTGAGACATTCGGCGAATATTCTCCCCACACAAAAATCGAATCAGGGTCTCCTATATGAGACAGCGAAGCGCCTAATCACTACACCACAGGTGCCGGTACACGACATTTTACGGAATCTATTTGCAGCACATACAGATGAATGCACCCACATGTTGATCTTGAGGTTTGAGAATCTCCCACCCCCCCCCCCAGAAAGTCACAATCGACGGATTTTGAATTCATCTCTTCCCTTTGATTTTCTCTTTCTCCTTCCCCTCGTATCTCTGCTATGACGTAGGGAGTAACTACGGCAATATGCATCTCATAGTGCAGTTTGACTTTTTCGTACATGGCTGTTTTAACTGTATACATGAACATAGAAAAATCGTCTGTTCAATAGGCAGCCACGTGCTGTTTTCAAACGTACTATTCATATTTCTGCTGACTCTAGTGGTTCCAGTTTTGGGTCAAAATTAAGTTTGTGTTATGCCTGGACGTCAGCCCGAAGGGTCCACTCTTTACGATTTTAGAATAACTAAGATATCTTAAGCGTACAGAACTTTCACATGAGACCTCTGAAACTTTTCGTCCTTATCCGAGACGACCAAGCGCTTGACCCTACTTACCCTAAGCTAATGGTGTGTAGAAAACATAGGGAGAAAAGACCTGACGCTAACAGGAATTGAACCCTGGACTTTTAGGTTGACATGCAGACACTATACCAGTAGAGCTAATCAGGTTCGCTATTTGCTTCTGGCTCGATAAAAGAAACCTTTCAAATAACACCACTACCATCTGAAACAAAAGTCCATGACAGCTGTCGAGGTCAACGTCGTTTAATTTGACCCTTCGACTTGATATTATAATAAGACTTTTTTTGGTGAGTTTTTTTTTTTTAACCTCAAATTCAAAGTAGGCCAGACTCAAAGTAAGGTTACATGATTTCCAGGTATTGTAGCCCCCCCCGATTCCATCAACAGCAGTAACAGCAGCAGCTCAAGTGAAAACCTCAGCACAAAAACAAGGGACAACAAGAATGACGATTAGCAAAAGTATTAAAAAAAACCCACAAGGGCTCATCGTCACTGGGGATCGCATAACCACACAGTAGCCAAACAGAAAATAGGTCCCGACATTCTTCATATTTATTAAGTCTGGAAACATTGATCAGCGCAGTGAAAACCCTCAGGAGAGAGAGAGAGAGAGAGAGAGAGAGAGAGAGAGAGAG